CGTTGCACAGAAAAGAAAATCAAATTGAGAGAATAGTACAAGAAAAAAACAGCTCTCATTTAAGATATTCAATATAACCAAATAAAGTCACAATTGAAAACAACCAACATTTCAGATAATTGATAATAACCTGAAACAAAGTAAAGTCTAAGCTATGTATCTTAGAATCACATAGCTGGATACGGAAGCTGTTTAGCAGAGTGGTTAGGGTTTCAGGTTCTGGGGTTAAGCTGCCCAGGTTCAAATGTTGCTCCCTAACTAACGAACTAGGTGTGCAACCTTATACCAGTCATTTGCACTCTCTGAGCTTAAATTTTCTCAACTATAAAATGGAGAAAAACTACTTCATAGGGTTAAAAAGATTAACTGAAATCATTCATGTAAAGCACTTAGGAACCTGGAACATAGTAAGCCTTCAAAAAATGTAGTTGTTATGAAACTTGCATTTTGGTTGAACCTAGTCTACTGGTGATTTTCTTTTATTAATTTTTATTCACCTCAAGTTCTTACGACAGAGAGATACTCTGGAAATCATTCAAAGATCATTATGTAAATACTGGTTACAAGTTGGCTCTACTACTTGCTGTCATGGGAGAATTGGCATTCCAATCTCTACCAACACTTCACCCCCCGGCCTCAAAACCTTTGCCATGAAAGTGTAATACAAAGCTCCACAGGCAATCTGTGGGGTCTAAAAAATTTTTTAATGCAATAAACAAAAACTCTACTAAGTTAAAATAAATGGCATGTGTTTTTTATGCTGGTGACTGTGGCTAAACTAAAAAGTGAGAGACTGGATAAAACAATTTTGAAAGACAAGAGTTTAAAAATTCTCAGAGAATTATATACTCACGTATTTCTAAACCTTTATGATTTTATGTATTAGCTGAAGTTTAAATAACTACATTTAAATTTTGAAACACATGTTTTTTGGGAGTAATTTCTAAAAAATACACAAAATAAGTATGTAATGGTAAGAGTTATTCTTTTATTAAGTTTTAAGACATATCAATACAAATTCCTAGTTCACTACAGTACAACAGGTAACTAACTTAATGTTATCTCCAGAGACTGTGGAGATAAGAATGGAATTTCCCTAGCTTTCAAGACTTACCCCAGAATATGTTTAATTTTAAGTGTAAAAGAATAACTTTCAATAGAGTACAATATGATCAAAAGATGGTCAAAGCTAACCAAAACCCTTCTCAAATATCTTTATGTCCAGCTTCATTCTTCTGGAATATTTTTAGAACTGAGCTCCAGGGTCATCTGTATGAGACATGGTCCAAACTAAACCTCAAATTTCAATCAACCCAATATTTTAAAATCAGCTTTTCAAATCGAACATTTTCCTATTGGTAGTTTTCAGAGTTCTAACTCACTTTCCATAATGTTAGCACTTATCATACTCTGCTTTCCAGTTAACTTTTATATGTACATTTTCTCTAGACAGTAAGTTTACACTAGACAGTAAGTTTCTTATGCTTTTACTCCCAGAGTCTCCAACTGAAACTAATAAACGTGATACACATTTTGAAAATATATGTATTAATTGATTATTCTGTGATGCAGGGTACCAGACTCTATTCCTTACTCTGATATCACTAATAGCATGATCTTAACTCCATCTTATTCAGAGGTCAGGCTCTTTGGCTTTGAAATGGAATGATTATACAGGCTGATGTCTAGGATCACTTGTAGGTCTAAAACATTATGCTTTTACGTATCTGCTGAAGTTTAAATAACTACATTCAAATTGTAAAACACACTTTCAAGAGTAATTTTTAAAAAATACGCAGAACAGTTAAATATGTAATGGTAAAGTTCTTTCATTACGTTTTAAGATATATCAATAACACTTCTTTGTTCACTACAGTAGAACAGCAGCAGCATGCACCTGATAACATTGCTCCTTATAAAAATTACAAACAGATCAACACGTGACATTTCAAATAATTATCCCTATGAGACATCATTTGCTATTTTCTTGTATCACTTCACAAGATTTATTCAAACTACCATAATGACCTTCAGTTTCCATTAACAAACTTACATAAAAAGCTGGCAAACATACCTAAGAATTAGGCTGTCACTAACAGTTGAAGCTTTGGAAGGAATTTATTCATAGGAATAATTTAAATATATTTAAATAAACATTTAAAGTTTCCCTTCTGTTTTCTGTAAATACGTCAAGATTATCCCATAGCTATGAGTTTCAAATTAATACTGTGTGGGGGTGAATTGGCTTGGTAACTTAATAACAGAAATACAATAGTTCCCCCTTATCCATGAAGGATACATTCTCAAGATCCCCAGTGGATGCCCAAAACCATGGATAGTGCTGAACTATATATATACTATTTTTTCATATATATATATATACATATATATATGTATATATATATATATATATACCTATGATAGATTAATTGATAAAGAAGACATAGTAAGAGATTAACAATAGTAACTAAAATGAAATCGAATTATAATAATTTACTGTAATAACAGTTATGCCTATCTCTCTCAGAATATTTTATTGTACTATACTCACCCTTCTTCCTGTGATGATGAGAGATGATACAATGCCTACATGATGAGATGAAGTGAGGTGAATGAAATAGGCACTGTGACACAGTGTTAGGCTACGATAAGGGTTACTTGAACACAAGCACTGTGATACCATGACAGTCAATCTGATAACCAAGATGGCTACTAGGTGACTAATGGGCAGGTAGCAAATATGCTGGACAAAGGGATGGCACATGTCCTTAGTGGAATGAGTGGGATGGCGTGAAATGAACGGCACAAATTTAAAACTCATAAATTGTTTATTTCTGGAATTTTCCACGTAATATTTTAGGAATGTGACTGACCACAGGTAATCGAAACCACAGAAAGTGAAACTGTAGATAAAGGGGGACTACTATATATAGATTACAGAAGAGTCTACTATCCTTATTAAAAACATAAACACTGTAAGGGCCAGCACTTGCTAATAAAAATCATTGATATGATTCAATTACCAAGCACACTTTTTGTAATACTATAAGCACGTTTTAGCTTAAATTAATACAGCTTTAAATTAAAAGGGAAAATGACAATGCATCAGGCACAAATAATTCTTTACACTGTCTGCATTCTTTACATTTTCTGAATAGTTAGTTACTACATTTGTGTAATTAAAAAAAAGATAATGAAAGTTCTACCTCTACATTGGCTTTTTAAATTTTCCATATCACATATCAAAGTGTTTTTATTGATAATTTTTATGATAGTACAGCCAACTTTTCTGGAGTTTCTGAAAATTAATACCAAAACCTTACTGGTGAAATATATAATCTGATCTCACTATTTATATGAAAATAAATGACTAAATCTTTCCAAATCAATTCTGCTTTATCGATACAGGGGAAAAAAAGCTATTTCCTTCATGCTAAATTACAAAATTAGCCTAAAACATGTTACAAAGATAGAAACATTAAAAGATACTAATTACAGAAGCTAGAATACATCATCAGGCATTCCCTCAAATGCTGAGATGTAATTTATTCATGGTGATAGAACAAATACCATTTGTTATTTGGTCATTCCGAAATTTAAAATCTGAGATGAACCTGATAAAGGCAAACCAATTTTTTTTTACACAACAATCTGATATATATATTAAGGGAGACCAAAGTTTTGCCACCCCAAAGTGTGTCTATTGGGATATTGATTTTACACTACTTATTAAGAAACAAAGACTCAGAAAGAACCTTTGTCCCTCCTGCTTTACCTGCCTAAAGGAATTCAGATAGAAAAGCCTGCTTAAAGGAAAGAAGCATCACCTTAGCCTCATACTATAAATTAAATGTGGCAGATGGAGAAATCTAGCAAAGCCTGTGTGTTAGATCTATATCTCATTGTTTCTGGATGGCCCTGCAAGAATTTACCAAATGTTTGCTCTTTTTCATCTACCTGTAAACTGCCCACTTTTACTTTTAAATCCCAGATCCCCATCCCCTCTCCTTTGTACAAAATAGCATATAAACCTCAACTGCCCCAAGCATCTCCAGGTCTTATATCTATCTTATGGCACCCTCAAATATACATCCATAATAAATTTTGGAGATTTTCTTCTTTTAATCTGTCTCATGTTAATTAAGCCAGTTAGAAAAAGTTAAAGGTGGGAGAATTTTTTCACCCCACTATATATATATAGATATATATGTATATAGTTAGCCGTACAACCATACGGAAATTCAATTTTCATAATTTTTTACTGTTTGGTGTAAAGTGTGGCGTGCCTGCACTTTTGGCTCTCAGAAAAAGGCACCGTTTTCTGAAAGCTCTTCAATTCCGAGTGACCTTTAAGTTTTACAGACACTGTAGGAGATTCCTAAATGTCTTAAGAAAAGGCAAGACTGCCTTGCTTTTTTTCTCCAATGCATAAAGTTGCTGTTAAGTCTGATATCACATTTTCCATTCCTAATCTGAAGAGGAAGGATCTCTAAAACATACTTGTTCACTCTCACCTGCGGAGAGCCAGACTAGCAGCCCTCACTCTGTGGTAAGGTTGGACTGCATCCGTGATGGAGGGAAAAGAGCCAATTCTGCCCACAGCCCTACCTGTGGCTCACAAAAAAGGGAGGCGGAGGAAGCGCGGGTTGGGATAATACAAGGGACTTCTTTATCCGGACCATATTTGGGGAAGTGTTTCAGAATGTGTGTGTCCCCCTCGCTCTAGTGAGAAGGGGCATCATGGGGACCGCTTTTCGCCCTCCTCTCTCCATCCGGCCCTCGGCGCTCAGCCCTCAGACCAGAGCAGGGTAGAGGGAGGAGGAGGTGGAGGAGGAGGAGGAGGAGGAGGGCAGCTAGTCCCCAGGGCCCCCTCCAGCAGCTCCCAACCGCCGCTGCGAGGCCTGGACCATGTCCGCGGCCTCGGGGCACCGACCCAGAGGTGCGCTCTGTGCCCCGCGCCGGCCCGCCCTGCGGGTCCCCAGACCCGGCCCTTGACTCACCGCTCTCCACCTCGCTGCCTTTCTTGGCGGTCGCCGCGTTCCCCATGACTGGGGCGCTGGAAAGAAGGGGTCAGGGAGGGAAACGGGGGCCGGGGCCGGGGCCGTCCCCGCCGCTTCACAGAATGAGGCAACTCCCGCTTCTGTACGGGTCAGAGCGGTGAGCGCTCCCGGCACTGATGCCCAGAGTCCCGGCGGGAAGACTGGGCCAGTTCTGAGTGTGGGGCTTCGGCGAACTCCACT